CATCAATAGTAGGGAGCCAACCCATGCCTTTGTATTCGGCTCGGTAAAATGGCCGCTAGTTGGCTTCTTTTTCATACAAAGGCGTTGCAAGTCCAGGTTTTTTTTATATACGTCCGTGGCTGTAAAGGTGTACAAGGAGAGCAGCGCCAACTTAAGACTTTGGAACCAAAATGGCTGTTCATTTTGTGTGCAATGTAGTATGCAGTATCACTCTCGGTGCTGATTGTCCGTGTGCACTGGCATATAATCCTCCATTTTGGATCCAACAATTGAGACACTCTCGTAACTCTCTCTATAAACATACTTGAAGTATTGAAACACGAAAGCAAATGGTGTATGAGTATCTTAAAGATATCTAATAACTAAATAACAATGTATATCATCCAGTTATGTAAGTAGGCCCATATTTGCGTTTGTTTAATTTTTTTGCGGAAAAAAATTCATTTGTGAAATATTTGTGTATTAAGGTTTGGAAGTTTTATCAGTTTTTTCCAGCACCTTCTGAAAAAAAGCCTTTTATTTTTACAGAATAGCTTTTGATTTATTAAATATATAAACCGAACCAAATCATTAATTTGTCAATCATTTAATTGGCATAGCCAACAGTTTAACTGATGGGGGGATGGTTTTGGACATATCACACTGTGAGTTTCACTCGCAACTGGATGAATTGAGCAAGTGACTCACAGGATGAGCAAGAAGTTGTCCGGCTTGATGTCTCCATGGACAATTCCGCAGGCGTGCATCTGTTCCACGACGTGCAGGATTTCGATGGTGAAGAGCAGCAGCAATGGCTCTGGCATGACCGTCTGGGATCGATTGTAGGCATTAACGGCATCCAGCAACGTCAGGTGGTGGTGCTTCATGACCAAACAGCTGCCGTCAGGAAAGACGTGCATGTTGCTGGCGTACATGACAGACGCCCTCTATGGAAAGAAACGGACAAGGATGTTTGAGGTTCCTTCCCTTACAGTCCACTTTCGATATAAAGAACACTAAATATTATGACAAATGCTGTTATAAAGAGCAGATTCCACAAAGCCCAATTTCTTGAATTCTTACATTCTTCATGGTTTTTCTGCTCCTTATGTAACAAAGTCCTGGTTTATAACAAAGTAATTTGCAAACAGAAGGTTGCTGCGATCCAGGACTGTTTCTCTAGTTATGACAATGTGCACAGATTTTCTCCCACATTTTCCATTCAAAATTGGTACATTACGACTAGCAAGTTTGCAGCTTATCAAACATAATGACTTTATTCTCTAGAGGGCTACTTAAATACAACCCTTAGGGAAACTGAGTATAGAGCATTGTATTTGAATTGATAATGTTGCTTTGCTGAATGCTTTGCCATATGCTGTATGCAAAGCAGCTACATGTATCTTATTTCTTGGCCCAATTCCTTGTTTTTTCTCTCAGTGGCATGTTACAAATGATATCACCTTGCAGCTTCAGAGAATTAGAAAGAGTGAAAGCCCTCTGCCCACGTTCTGCTGATCACATGCAATAAATCAAAGGCTAGGACACTGGAACACTTTGACTCAAACACACAACAATTGAAAGAAACCCCCCTCACCACGTCCATGGGGTTTCCCAGTGAAGCCAGCCTCTCGTGCAGGGTGCGACTGATGTAGAACTCCCAGGGGCAAGCCGGCTTCTGGACCTTGAGCACCATCTTGTCGTCGGCTCCCTCCGGGACCTTCCTGTAGTCATCGGTGTGGAGGCACAGGATGGACGCCCGGTACACTTTGGCAAAGGCCCCCTCGCCTATCAGTTTCTCCACCGTGTACCACTCGTCACCTGCATTGACAATTATTTTCGGAGAGTGCGGAAGTAGTCGCTTAGGCCTAAAATAAACAGTTGGCAAACCCTGCCCTAAGACACAAAGAACTGTTGACATATGTATCTCACTCCAGGAAAAAGTGATACAAGTTGCCAAAAGAAAAAATAAGTTATATACATGACTGGAAAGCCCACATTGTAAGCTTTCATTTCGTATATGATAGAGCTCCATAGCCTTTCCCGTTCCGGAGTTATGACACATTTGCATATTGATTAGTTCCAGGCAATGGAAAATTGCAAAACTAAGAAAAAAGGCTTTGAAATATCTGGCTCTGATGTAGGTTGTAGGCATTTAAATCTTACTTAGCAACCAACATGTTATTGTGTTACAACCATCTTCAAAATTCGCACAAGGACTAAGGAATTAGTATTTTCAATGATTTTGTCAGAAAAAAAGGAATTTTCGAATCCAACGTTGTGTGGGTATTCCAAACTAATCCCAAGTTTTTATTTTTAGTCAAAAAAGCTACGGCTATTGCGGACAGTTAGAGTTCCGAAATTTTTCTTACTTGCGTATTAAATTTCACCTTTAAGATCTGATAATACCAAAGTTTTGTGTCAAAAGTGCCACCATGGTTAGGACATACTGAATCTCATACATACCTCAAATGAAAATAATAACAGGTGCCACTTTTTGTCACCTATTTTGTCAGTAACGATCAGTCATTAAAAAATGTTGCAAAGAGGCATGAATCTGGGGACTGAGAAACGTTTTCGATATTGTGAAAAAAATACTCAACTCTCTACAGATTCGTACACAGCCTGCAAAGTGGTGTCAAGATTCTGAATGAACATATATTGTGTACATTCAGTTCCCCACACTGACCTATTAACTTGATGCATCAGTGTTGAAGTCCAGTCATTCCAGTCAATGTCCTACATGTACATGCACATTCGCACACTCCAAAAAAGTCTAGAGCTATCGTTGTATCGCGAGAAGTTGTGTATTGGCTTGGTACAAACGACTACATGTACCAACAGACATGCTGAATATCTACAGAATTGTGCCTACATGTAACAATTAAACCTGATGGTGTTGCAGTTCAGTGAATGCTGTAGGCCTGTATTCTGAATAATACTATATTCTAAGATCTCAATTTCAAATCAAGTAATGTTTTCAACTTTGCCCGAATTCAGCATTAATAGATTTCAAGTTTTGACAAGGGATTTGTTACAGTAAAAACTTACTCAAGCCAACTGTTTCACTCGGCACAAGTTCCGGCATGGGGTAATCCCACTCAGAGTAGCCCTCATAATCACTTAGATGTCTTGGAAGGTTGCTCAACAGATGTCCCTTCAAGACCTCAGAGAAGGGGTCGATGTCCTCACTGTCAACAGCAGGAGCTCTGGCGCATGCACTCTGTTCATCGGGCACCTCCGAGCAATCCATGAGTGAGGCGTCACGCTGCAGGCTCGCATTTGTGAATGAGTCCTCGGGTTCGCCCAGGTGCATCTTGGCCATGAGCGAGGTGCTGAGGTGCAGAGACACATCCGGTGCACTCGACTCCTTTGCCAGGGATTCCTCCCACTTCGGTGGTTGCTGATCGTGGTTGACGGGAGCAGAAACCTGCTCCCTGATAAACTCATTCATGGATGACTGAAAAGACTGCATGGTTCCCTGGTCAGTGAAAGGTGCATGGGTACCCATGTTCTCGTCAAAGATTTGGAATGACTGGTGGCTATTAGATGGCTCCAAATATGGCTTGCCTCTCCCTTCAAGAGGACTGGTTCCTTGAACCTTGTCAGATAGCTTTTCTAAAGGAGGCCTCTTATTTTCAAACATTGACTGGGATGAATAAGTTGCAGAGGTTAACCCACGATTGAGGTTGCTGTGCTGGCCTGTAGAACTTTGGACGGGCTGTGAGACTGCCCTCATAGATGCTGCGGAGGTCTCTACGGGTTTATCTTTGAAGACTTTGAAGGATCCTCCAGTAGTTGCAGGGGCTGACGGTTTGCAGTCGGCAGACTCATTGAAGATTCTGAAGGACTGAGACTTGTTTCCATGCAGATGGTCTGGATTGAAACCAACATAATGATCACTTGCTCTGACTACATTTGAACCATTTCTGCCATTTGCACTAAGGTTGAATTCACCAAAGGACTCATTAACTTGTAGTGAGTTACTGCTGTAAGTGTCGAATACGCCGTGGGATCCCACCCGGGTGCGATGATTGCCAAGTCCCCGACGCACACTGACGTGGCTCATGTCCAAGGCCTGGAGGCTGGTTGACGGTGGACTGGCCAGAGAGCGGCCATTACGTGGAAGTGACTGGATGCTGGCGCTAGAGGCAAGTGAACCACTCTGGGTGGTGGACAGCAAGGCGTTACTAACTCCGAATTGACCAGAGTCGGTGCTGAGACAACTGGATGGAGCTATAGATGTACCGTCTCGCAAGGAAGCTGGAGAATCCGGTTTGGAGGTGACTGATGGATCTTGACTGATGGTAGAAGCTTGATGGCCGGTTGACAGATTGTCACTGCCATCCAAATGGACTCCATGAGAGATGGCATTACGGGTGGACAAGGAGCCATCGTTGGCGGTTGGGAAGGTGAAACAGGAGGGAGAGGGGGCACTCAGCCCAGCGGAGGGAGGGTGAGAGCTGCTGATGGACGTCCTGTCTGCACGGGTGGTGGAGAGGAGGCCAGCATGGGACACAGAGGACAGGCCGGTGTGGGTCGTGGAGCTGAGGTGAGAGGAGCCGGTGGAGTTGGTGCTGCTGGATGCAGAGGAGCGAGCGTCTTCATTGCTACGTTCCATGATGGGGCTGTGGAGGGAAGAGGCCACGTAGTCCACCATTAAGAAAGTACACAAGAAGCTTCTCCTCCACTCAGATTTAACCCAGCCTATCAAAATGAGTCATAAGTTGCCCAAACAACTGGCCCCAATTAAGAAGGACCTTCAACACTAATGGATACAGTGTACATCTGTGCCGAATAAACATCCACATATCATCAATACGGTAGATACACATGTACATGCATGTACACGAAGATCAGCCTGTGAAAAACTATCCAATTGCTCATCAGTCCCTGCAAGTCCGTTACATGTCACCCTGACTAAAGCCTTGTCAACAAGCCGTTGAAATGACCTGTGACAAAAAGGATTCTTCTGTCATTGTTCACTCAGTTATTCGTGACTGATCATGTGACTGAAAGGGCTTGTGACTGAAAGGGCTTGTGACTGAATGGTAACAGGACTTGTGACAGACTGGACAACAACTCTGATGAGGAACTGTCTCAATGACTCCTTCCGTGGAATGCAACCACAAATCAGGTTTTAGCAAAAACACCATTCGTTTTATCACACAAGTGAACCGAAATAAGACGGCAACTCAAATAACCCTTTTGCAAGGTAATCTGATTCATTTTGATTGTAGGACATTCTGCGCTCTTCAATTGCAAAGTTGATTTTCCCCGTATAATTTTAGGCTGCTCTAAAGTAAACTGCAGTTCATATCTTGTCATTTCTGAAATAAATATAAAGCACTTTTAATTTCCCCCGGAGAAGTTCATTTCAGCACAAACTTCCCCCCAAATTTCCAACTGAAAAAAAAAAGATTCTGAAGAGAGAAGTAGCACTTTCAAAAACTCAACTGCCTCCAAAAAATTAATCCATATCCTGCCGGGATCCCATTTTCGGGTACCTTGGGTTTGTACGCATAGCCGGGGTGCCGAAATTGGACAAAAGAGCTTTTTGAGGGGTAATTACCAACATTTTTTTCAGTTGTCAATAGCAGAGGAAATCCGTCATTGTTTTGAGAGATTATACCACTGTTTGTGGCATTCAGTGCAAGTGGATTACCACCGGGACAAAAACCCTCAGGCAATCCAGAGATGAGCGATAAAGTAACGCTGAACACTAATCTGGCCAGTATTGAAAAGACAGCCAGAAGCACTCTGTACCAGTTTCAGGAACAAAACAAACATTTGTAATACCGCACAATCTGGGCTCATTTTCCAATGCGGCAGGCCAGACTGAAATACTCTGGCATCAATGGATTTTGTCTGTCCAATTAGAGTAGACACCAGACAAACACTCCACAGGGTTTAGGCGTTCAGGAAAAAAAGATAAACCGAAGATACTGAAAAATTGCCCGTGTGTAGGCACTGTATTTTTAAAAGCATCCGACAGGAAATGGTTATTACAACCCAACTGGTATTTCAAATTGTTATGTAATTTAAAAAACATTACATACAGACAGCTCACCTTAATTTCTGCTGACTGTCCGCATTGATAGTGCACTCAGTCGCTTCAAAGCTTTCCAGACTATTGGTCATCATGACGCGAGTGGGTAAGGTTACTGGTCGGCCACTGCCGGCCCTTGCTGTGGAGTCCTGGAGCAGGGTGCTGTCTTCCACTTCTGCGCCCAACAGCAGTGAGGGCTTGATGGAGCTGAGCGGAGGGAAGGACAGGACGCCCAAGGAGGTGAAGGGAGTGGAAGCCATGCGGGAGTGGGCCTTGAAGGCTGAGCGGCCGGCCTGGTGGTCCAGGATGGTCTCGTTGATGGCCTGCTGTGCTGTCACTTCTGATGGGCCACTGCTTTCCCCAACGGGCAAGGGCTGTATGCCTTCCATTATGTCGTCATTCTGGAAGGGGGATGATGTGATGAGATGCCTCTGGCTCATTGCCATATTCTTTATACATGGGGCTTGATGCCCTTAAAACATTCCAGGAAAAAAAATCTGCTGGTTGGTTTCCTGCTCAACAGGTGATTAAAGGAGCTTCTACAGCAGTGCCTGGACTGGGAAATCATTTGGTATATAGACCAAAGAAATTCAGTGAGATGCCATTCTGAGGGGCCAAATACACAGCTTTCTCAAACTAGGCACGCACGCACATGCACTTCAGCAATTGATTACTGTCTATTGGTCAAGGAAGAATTTCACATGCGCGCACCGCCTGCGTGTGAACAGGATGGCCCTGTAGTAATGGCTTCTAATTTTGGTCGTCGGATTTGTCTATAGGATTTCTGCAGCCTGCATTGACAAATCTTGACACTAGCACACAATGGCTTGGCAATGTCTCAAGCCAACTCTCAGTACTATTATTGCAGATGATTTCAGAAGGGCTGTCCATAAAGAACATCTTCAAAAAATGCTAACTTTTAGGACCCCCTGTAAGGAATCTATCAACAGTGTTGTAGTCGGGTACTTTCTGAGTACCAACGTTCTCCACAAAATACTGAACTGGGTAAGAGGGAATAAAGGCAGAGTGCACAGGCATTTGATGGTAAATGTGCAAAGGTAAGATTACAAAATAAACGTTAGACTTCAGACACTCCCAGTTGTATAAAATTTAAGTTTTAAGGAGAAAAGTACTTGGCCGAGTACTTTCCGAGTACTCCTAAAAAGTTAATTTTAAT